TGATTAGTGGCATATCTATTACACAGTGTATCATATTAATTATGTCATTAGCAGGTTAATGCTATCTGCTATCACATTTACAATATAATATACCCAAGAAAAACATTACTGGAGGTCATGTCGATTTCGCGTCATTTCTCTCTAAAATTTGACTGAACTCTTTGATTTTCTGTCATTTCTATACATTTTAGAGTCTTATCTTTGAGTCTGTGTATTTTATTCCTTGCTGATTCCACTCTTTTCCTTTGTATTTTGCATTTTAAAACGTGACCCATCGTGATAATTTCACGAGGCTCCTCCTATTAGTGTTTCTTTGTTTATACAGACAATGGAAGCTAACAAGATGTAACAATTAATCAGCATCTATCACATTCATTTTTTCATCATCTCTGACAAATGGCACTTGGTTTATTATCAGAACTGCAATATTTCTGTATTAATTTAGAGGCATGTCGAGCGCACACAAAGGCCTGTTTTTTAATCATGTTAAAGATAGAAGATGGAGTATGTTTTATATGGTTTTGTCATTGTTTGTCAAGAATTATGATATAAGCTCTAACCACATGGGTTTTACCCTTATTAATACAAGCTGTGTATTTAAAAGAGAGCTTCATGTATATCTCCATGTCTCATGAATTTATTAATTACATCATAAAACAATGTCTAGCCTGTATTCACCATACAGTAAAACTTGGCAAGGTGAAATACCTTTGATACCTCTAAAAAGCATGGTGTTCCAATATTGGGAGGTGTTCCACCTATAGAGGTTCATTATATATTAAGTCAGTTGGTCTTGAAACTGAAAAGTGCTCGACTAAAGCCTTGGTCACATTTGCTCAAATTTTCACTAAGGCGCCCGGGCGATTGAGTATTTTGTTCAAAAATGAATTCTATATTGAACAAAACACTCAATCACCTAGGCGCCGGCCGATGGATCGGAGCAAATGTGACCCAGGCATTACAGGTGTTCCACTTCTGGAGTGTTCTACTTTACAGGTTTTACTGTATTCTCTATTATATGTTGGAGAAAGGAAGAAGTGGGGGGGGGGGGTGATTGTTAGGGGCTATTACCCTGAGGTATAGTCATGTTTCAAGATCTCCACTCTCCCTACTTCAACAACAGGGTCTTGTAAACAGTAGGTACAGAGCATAGAACTAACTAATATGAAGCCCTCTTTTAAAGGTATAGGGGCAATCAGACACAAGTAAAGCTGGCAGCATGACAAATTAGTGATAGAAAACTGAAAGTGTTGATTAATCTGGCAGGTGTAAATGTATAAGAAGAGTATAACAACCAACAAGAAATAAAATATAGTTAATACACTACTGTGTTCAAGAGCTTGAAATTAAGGCAGTTCCTGAGGGAGAAATCAACAATGGAAAAACCAAAATAAAAATTTAAAAAAGATTCCTTTTTTTCTAAAGGCAGATCTTATCAAATTGGCCTACCTTAGAGGGGGGGGTGCCAGTATTATATATTACATAGAGTAGGGAAATATATTATTAAGAAAGCAGGCCCGTAAGACACTTTTCTCCAAGGGGGGTGCGGTTTTTACTAAAGAGAATATAAAATTGTCAATTTTTTGCCGCGTAAATCAAATCGCCTAAGTCAGAGGGGGGGTCGGTTACTCCCTATATCGGTTTGGCATTAACAAATGCAACTTCAAAACGTTCCAATCGTTTTGTGGGGGATGTGAGGAGTTGTCCACTCCCCCTAGAAAATTTTACAGTTTTGAGATGCTATTTGGTGCATTCTGGGCACTTTCAAAGTGTATGAGTCTATAAGAAAAATGTGATTTTTTTTCAAATTCTTTTGGGGGTGGCAAAAAAGATGAGAGGGTGAAGTGGGCGGGGTGCCAGAGGGGGAACAAGGGGTTGTCCCCCAGAAACATTGACCATATCAAGGTGGGGGATGTGAGGGGTGGCTAACTCTTCTAGAAAATTTTACAATTTAAAGATGATATTTGGTGCTTCTAGGCACTTTTAAAGTGTATTAGTCAATAAAAACATTAAAAAACAAAACAATCATAATTTTTTTCAAATTTTGGGGGTGTCAAAGGGGAGGGGAGGGAAGGGTGCCAGAGGGGGAGGTGAGGTTGGGGTGCCAGAGGGGGAGCAAGTGTTTGTCCACCGTATCTGTCCCCCAGAAACATTTACAACATCAAGGTGCTAGTCGATGAAGTCTGGGCACTTTAAAAGTGTCTGTGGCCTATTTCCCAAGAAAATTTTACAATTTTAAGATGCTATTTGGTGCTTTCTGGGCACTTTCAAAGTGTATGAGTCAATAAAAAATTTGAAAAATCTTAATTTCTTTTTCAATTTTTTTTTTGGGGGGGTGTCAAGGGGGATGCCAGAGGGGGAGGTGGAGTGGGGATGCCAGAGGGCGAGTAAGTGTTAGTCTCCCAGAATCATTAACTATATCAAGGAGCTATTTGATGATGTCTAGGCAATTTAAAAGTGTCTGAGACAATACATAAAACAAATTCAGAACTTTTCCATTGTTTTGTTTGGGGTGTGAGTGGTGGCCCACTCCCCCTAGAAAATTTTACAATTTTACGACGATATTTGGTGCTCTCTGGGCACTTTCAAAGTGTATGAGTCAATTAAAGAATTTGAGAAAATCACAACTTTTATCAAATTAATTTTTTTTTGGGGGGGGGGTCAGAGGGGGAGTTGGTGTGGGGATGCAAGTGCAAGATGCAAGAGGGAGAGCAAGTATTAGTCCCCCAGAAACACTAACTGTATCAAGGAGCTATTTGATGGTGTCTATGCACTTTAAAAGTGTCTGAGACAAAACACTAAAATAAATTTAGAACTTTTCCATTGTTTTGTGGGGGGGTGAGGGGTGGCCAATACCCCTAGAAAATTTTACAATTTTAAGATGCTATTTGGTGCTTTCTGGGTACTTTCAAAGTGTATGAGTCAATGAAAAAAAATTACAAAAAAAAAATTTCAAAAAAAATTTCTTTTTCAAAAATTTTTTTTTCAAATTTTTTTGGGGGGTTACAAAGGGGGGTGCGGTCGCACCCATCGCACCCCCCCCCCCCATCTGACGGCCCTGGAAAGTCACATCCCAAGGTTTCATGGAAGACTTCGGAAAAGGTCAAACCATAGTAATATATTAAACACAGGTGATAGATACATTGGTGAGAATTAAAAATGGATGAGTTGGCTGTTTATTTAGAAGGCAGGTGTATCAGACAGATATTATAACACAAACTGTCAAACAAACAAACAGCATATAATTATATCTTATTTAGTAGTATGTCATAGGGGCTTTGTTTACATGCCATTCTCATACCCTGCATCTATTTCAGCTAGGTATTCTACCCTCTTACTATAAATGATAGATTTGTGGTGCTATATTGTTTAGCTCTAATATTCACAATTGTAGCTTTTATAGCCTTGGGAGAATGGGTTTTAAAATATTAGTATGACTGTGTAAGCCACTTCATGGTTAAAGATGTAGTATTTTTAGATATCATAATTGTGAAAGTATGCCAAAATATGATATTTTTACACTGTTTATAAGAAATAAGTTTATTTATATTTTAACATGATATCTTATGAATACCACAGTAGTATATTATGCAGTTCCGACTTTTTTTTGTTCCATGACACCTCTAGGATATTATGCCATACCATGATCTCATATTAACATAGTTCATTTTTAAAATCTGTCTAAGAGCCATTAATATATGGAATATATTAAAGGTATATCACACACCTAACGAGGCTTCAGATAATTTATGTGTGATTAAATGTAAAAGATGAAAGGCTACTTGGTGGTAAATAGGCCATTAGGTGCTTTGTAATTTGTCTCCAAGGTGAATAGGTCATTATTGTCACATGTGGATCCACTAGGTCTATGTACTTAGAATATCCTTCATATTTATTTGACTTGGCTTCTTTAAAGATTGCTTCATGTTCAATTTTAAAGTTTAAGAGAAACTCGTTCAGCCGACCAGAACCTGTCATTGGCAGAAGGACAGCTACTGGCAATTGGGGCTGCTAAAGTATAACATTGTCTGAGGTTGTCAATTCAGAAGTTACTTTTTGACTAATCTATGGCTCAGCACTTAAGATAACTTAGATCTGTTTTGAAATTCACCCATATGATTTCTCTCCCCCTATAAACACAAAAAAGTAAAAAATAAATGAGGGAGGGGGGGCTGGGGGATGGGTTTGAAGTCTTAATGCAAAATGACGTCACATGGACTTAAATTTCTTAACCTGCAGTCCAGGAAATCAAACTTCAAATCACCAAAATTTGCTGCTATATCAGGAATTTAAGCATTATGTATACTCAACTTGTATTGAGGTTGTGGCTTATCTAGATACAAATCACAATTTATAGATTTGTGGTTTAACTGATTCGAGGACAATCATGATTGTAAGAGGGGGAATAGTGTTACAGTATCATTTAGAAGACATCAATTCATTCCTCCCTCATTGTAATTTCCTGTTTTTATAAACAAAACAATTATGTTATTTGCTATGTCATGATAACGTATATCAATCAATTCAATTCAATTTCAAAATAATTTATTTCAGTTTTCATTACAAAAATTACAACATTATACAGGCTATGACACCCCATGGTGTCATGTAAACAAGTTGCCTATAAAGAAATATAGTGGCGAGGTTTTTCTGTAGGTGTTGAAGAGATATAGCTACAAAATGACTAAAAGGCAATTCCTAGTCACAGAAACTTAAGCAATTTTTACATGTTTAATTGAAAACATTCATTTGAACGCAGAGTTCTTGAAAAAGGTGGATACTTGTATGTGGGAACCTACGAATCTCTCAAACACTGGACTTGCTATTTGCTCTCAACACTGCGCAAATCAGATTCAATTTCTAACCAGTCTCAACTTTTAAGGTCAGTAAAAGCATATCGGTAAGTACTTTCCATCAATCCAAGATTCTCGATTGTTGCAGGTTTCTTGGGAGTCGATTATATTCAGTTTCTAACCAGTATCAACTTTCATGTTTTTCAGGTCAGTGAAAGCATTCCGACAAGCATTGTACATCGATCCTGGGTTTTCAAGAGCCAATGAGATTCAACTGAGACTTGGTAGTATCTTAAAGACACAGAAAGACTACGATGGTGCTTTGAAAGTAAGCTTTTTGATTGAAATAGCACATATTATTATTTATATTGATATTTATATCAAGGCTTTTTTCTTTGAATATATACAGACTGCACCCTATATTTTTCTTCATAGTTTTTAGATTATGTGCTTTAAGTTTATCAGAAAAAAAAAGATTTCCCATCTTAAAATTTCATTTAGAAGGAAATGCCTACATGTGCTCTCTGTAATTTACCTCGTGTATCCAAATTGTGTGTTTACCTCATTGTATATTCTAATTATTTGTTTCTACCTCATATATTCAATTTGCACCTCATGTATTTTAGCTATCTTATGTTTTTCAGCATCTAAGGCTAGCTCTGAATGACTCCAGCCCATGTACTCTTAGCAAACACAAAAGTAAGTTAAGTCTTCTTTATATGGTGTGGGTAAGGCAATTTGAATTTTATCTTTCACATTGTCTCCCTTGTTTTGTAGAAGGGGAGAGTCTTAACTCGGTGGATGAGGTCTTGAAGTTATTTTCGATGTGAAATGTTGCTTTCAGGCCCATAGCCGTGGGTGGGTTAAAATTTCTTTCAAAATTATGCGTTTTTCACCATTCTGAGCACTTTTCAAATGATTTTGGGCTAAATTGTCAAATGTGAAATCCCCCAGAATTTTTTTTGAGAAGTGACCCCCCCCCCCTTAGTAGTCTTGCTTCAAGACCCTGGACTATCTACTCTAACAACTGTTTAGATAGGAGCCAAGTCTACAGTCTTGAAACAAGACTACCCCCTTGGCAAAAGCTGACTACTGGCCTGACTTTTATGGGATTTTTATGGGATTTCAACTAGGAGTTCTCTGTTGTGATTTTCAGGCATTATTTATATTCGGTAGAGCCTGGGTTAAGTTGGTGTTATCTCTAATTTAAAGACATAAGCTTAACCACTCTATTATTTTGATTGGGTATATATAGGGAAGTTTGGGTGTAAGTGTTTGGTCTAATTCAAAAGCAAATACTGTGAAACCTTTGTACATCAAATATTTTTTTGCTGAGAAAAAAATGTTCATTGTTGGTAGGTGTTCACTACAGAGAGGGTAATTTATACAGAAGTCAGTAGAGTATGTGCGGAAGAATGGTGTCTACTAGAGACAAGTGTTCACTGGAGACATGTGTTCACTAGAGAGGGGTGTTCACCAAGCCAGGTTTTACTGTAAATTAAGTTGAAGGGTGCTTTCTATGTAAAATATCAATGTGAAGTCAAGAAGGTGAAGCAAATGACATTTGAAATATGGAAAGGGCAGAATTCTCGAAATGGACTATTTTTAGAAAATGTCAGTTAATGACAATTGTTAATGACTGACTTCAGTTTATTATTAGAGGTATTAATTTATTTTTGGTATAGATATACAGATCATTGTTGTAATGCCACGTAAAACAAGATGAGTCAACTTGACACTTTCATGGATGTCATTTTTTTTTATTTTCCTATCAATGATTGTCGCCACAATTTTAGCATAAAAATGGATGATCTTTATTAGTATTATTGTATTGAACTTTTTTGTTTGTCATTGCTATTATGGTGATATTTTGAAAATCTAATGAAATAGATCACCATTGTTCATCATGTTTCATCATCCTTTATGATTCCTTTTGAGGTCAATGGCCTCATTTAATTATTTAATAACTTTCCAATGCATTGTACAATTCGAGGATAGCTAGCATAGGTGAAAATTACATTTTGACATTATCCCGAGTCCTTATATGTAAGATGAATTTGGTATCCGCTGGCAAGTTAACAATCAGTCATACAATCAACGTATAATAAACACATTAAGACGGATTTCCCGAGGAAGGATTTTTGCATATGGATGGGTTTTGCCACTGACACACCAGGCATATTTGAGAGCCATAAAAAACAGATTTTCTGGAAAAATCCCCCCCCCTCTGCAGATTGGCCTGTAAAGTGATGGAATCTGATATTCTGATATTTTTTTGTAACCCCCCCCCCCTCCCTACTTACTGATCCTTGCCTCTAAAGAAAGAAAAATTGCTTTGTTTATAATTGTATTATTCTGTTTGGAAGGTATGTGATGAGGGTCATGTTCACTGTGACAATTTTTATTATGACACAATAATTCTAAAAGATCACTTCAGCAGCCTACATGCTGTGTATCACCATGGAGACATATTTCACAACACCCTTCAATTTTTATGAGGTTGAAATGACATTCTTACGCAATGGATTATTTAAGGTTGATGTAAAATTACATTCATCTTGAAATTATTTGTTTTCTTTTTTTGTTATACACTTTTTGTTGTTCTGTAAGGAATGAATTCACTAAGTAATTAATTAGTATTTTAAATTAGAGCAAGGAGGATTGGCTCCCAGAATGCAACACCGATATTCTGCAAAACAATCACCTAGCGATAGCTTTGTTGGAGAGTATCGGGTCATTCTCCATGCAGTCGTACAAATTATACAGACACGAATAGCAAATGACGCATGCGTGGAGATTAAAGAATATCGAGTTGGAACCCTGGCTTCCAATCCTCCTTGAATTAGAGGTTTCATTATGTTTCTATTATTGTGTAACAATGACTTTGATATTGGGTCACATTAAACTAAGAGGTCATGGTGACCTCTTGTTGTCCTCCTGGGTCACCGTGACATCTCGAATCAGTCCTTCGTCTCAGTGGTCTTGAATATGTGATAATACCTTCTAATTGGCTGGATTCGTTAAACGGATGCTTAAAGTGATTAAATCTTTGAGGTTTTGTAATAAATAGTCATCAATTTTGTTTTCTTTGTTACTAAGTCTTTGTTGTATAATGGGTGGTAACGGAGAACAATAGGAGTGTTTAAAATGTTACCATGCTCTCTAATTTTTCAACTCATTCTCTCTAAAATTTGAATAAACTGCTTGATTTTTTGACATAATAATGAGATCAAGAGTGTGGATAACATGGCTTTTTACTTTATTCCCTGTGATTCCATTCTTTGGTGGTATATTTCTCATTTTGAAATCCAACTATCTTAACATTTGGAGCTTTTATTTCGTAACACAATGTTCTAACCAACGCATCAGTTGTGGTATAACAGAAAACTGTTCCATTAATTTCAATTTCTAAACAATAATTTTGGTTTTAACATGGAGGAGTGTACCTATTCGTAAAATGACATGACGGTTATGTTTCGAAATGCAAAATAGAGTGGAAAAGAGTGGAATCAGCAAGGAATAAAATAAACAGGCATGTAGTCAACACTCTTAATTATATAGAAATGCAAGAAAATCAGGCAGTTCATTCAAATTTTAGAGAGAAAATGAGTGAAATAAGCAGAAGCAGACAGACATTAAAAACCTGTCCCACAAATCAATCAGTGTCTAAATGTGGTTGTTGAAAGCATGGCTCCCAATTATTGAGGTGTGTAAATTTTCCTCAGAATGTCCCATCAAAAATGTTCACGTCGGTCATTTTAAAAAAATGAAAAATAAGAAGAAAAGAGTGAAATCGGCAAGAAATTCAGTAAACCTGCATCTAATCCAAGATCTAAATAATACAGAAATGTCTGATAATCAGCAGTTCAATCAAATATAAGAGAGAAAAGGCGTAGAGTAGGCATAACCACAAGGGCGATACAGTGAGCGTAGGACTACTTTAAATATAGATGCGGCTGACTTATATAAAGACAATGCAAAGTGGTGCTATTAAAAGATACAACAGAAGTGAAAACAGGTTGCGTTTCATATTAAATCAGAGCTTTCAAGTGAATTTCTTGGCAAGGCAGGATGACAGAGAGCAGGGATATTATAAGAATTATCTAATTTTTACATAACAATTGCAAAATTTTTCTCGAAACATCAGGTGACTTATTGTTTAAAATGAGGATTTTTTAACGATGCTAATAAGGTAAACATGCGCCATGAATTTTTTGAATTTTAGATTATGTTATATTCTCTGATCAGTTATTATTTTGATTCGTAATGTACATTCAAGTACATGAATTTAATTTTCTTCCAGTCAAGTTCTATATTGGTCAAATCCTAGAAGTGAAAGGTGATTTCAAGGAGGCGAAGGAGCATTACGAGACACTGCTGAAAGACGAAGGTCTACCAAATAATGTGAAAAGTAACACACTACGTCAACTAGGATGGATGCACCACACGCAGGTAAGTCTCATTTTCAGTATAACTAGTCCCTTTCACATAATTACAGTCTCCATCATGCTGTTATATGAGAGGTGTGTCAGCTTGCAGTTAAATTCATAATACTTTTCATACACAGTGTCACTTCTCTCACGAGTCTGTCGTAAATGTTTCATTTGCAATGATGTCATGATTTTAATGATTCACTATTTCAAATATCACAATTTCAGGAGCAGTTTGGTGATAAGGCCACCCGGGAAGCTTATGCTGTTGATTGTTTACATAAAGCTATACAGGCAGACCCCTCTAGTGGACAAAGTTGGTACTTCCTAGGCAGGTAAGTTATAAAATACTCTGTGCTAATAAAAAAGATTATCATTATTATATATATTGTTTGTAAATTATTTAAATTGCACAAAGGGCAATATTTGAAACAAATTAAATGTAAATCTAGAAATCCAATTTGATGTAATAAAGCTAAAAACTCCTGTTATAGGATTATAACACAAATAGACTAAGTAACATTTTAATTGTTTCTAGGTGCTTTTCTAATATTGGCAAAGTCCATGATGCGTTTGTCTCTTATCGTCACTCCATCGACAAAACAGAGGCCAATGCTGACACCTGGTGCTCAATAGGGTAACTAGAAATTTATTCATTTAGCAATTTATCTAATTTTGAAATCTGATATTGAGGGCAGAATTTTGTACATTTACTGGGCTTCTTGAAAAACAAATTGGCACATCAGTTTTATTATGTCACCACAAGAATGACATATTGTTATAGTGTCTGACTTTTTTTGTGGACAGTGTTAGGCAGTTGGCGTTTGGCATTTGGTGATTGGCATCTCTAACAAATGGTAGGTGGTGCCATTTTGCATGTTTAAATGCTGTCCTACTGACATTTGGCCTTCCTAGGTTAAATACTAGAAAGGAAGAAGAGACTATGAAATCAATAATATACACATGTACTTGATAGATGTCTTTTTAAGAGAGAATTCTGTATAACATGTCAAATCAATGCTCACTACGATAAATATGTCTTGTGATAATTGGCCTCATTCGTCTCTCTGATATTATGTCATCTACTTTTTACCACAGAGTAATAGTAAATCTGTGTTGCTAAATCAGGAGGTTGCCATGGTGATTCATGATGCATATAAGTTGATATATCATTAGATTGTTTACTTATTAGTCTGTTTATGAGATTAATTGATTGTTTGTTTAACATTGTTTTGTTTGTTTGCTTAATCATGAATTTTTTGTTTGTTTTCAGTATACTTTACATGTAGTACCAATGATAGTACGAGTCTGTGTCTACCTATGTTGTTTATTTGTGCATTTTGATTGATTGATTGTCTGTTTGTTTACTTGATTGTTTTGTTGTTTGTTTACAGTGTTCTTTACCAGCAACAGAACCAGCCTATGGACGCATTGCAGGCGTATATATGTGCAGTACAATTGGATAAAAGTCATAGCTCTGCCTGGTCAGATCTTGGTATACTATATGAATCGTGCAGTCAACCCAAAGACGCTCTTGTGTGTTATAAAAAAGCTCTGAAGACAGATAAAGGTATTGTTGGTTCATAACATTCACATTCAAAAAGTACAAAGTCAGTATCTAGCCATTATGTTCCTATCATTGAATATATGCCTTCCATACAAATACAGATGTTCAAGGGAAGAATATTTTCTGTATTTCACGAGAAATCATTGAATAACATTTTTATTCCATGATTACCCATATAAAACTTGCCTAAATCAAGTCCCTTGGCTTGGGGCCGGAGAAACAGATCAACCTTCTCACCTCAGAGATATTTTACATCGATATTCCTTCAAAATCTTTATGGCCTTGTTGTTTGCTTTTTATTGTATTATACGAGACATTTGATTTTCTTTCTTTTTTCTTCAGTTTCATCAGCTGGAAGTGCAGTGTAGCGAAACTTTTTTTTGACTTTCGTCTGCCATATTGGATTTTAAATTTTATTACTAGTTCATGAAAGCAATGTGCATGCTTCATATTGATCTTTTTATATTCACAGATGTTTGTTTTTTATCCTAAAATTATAAATTGTGATGATCACCGTATCATTTACTGATATTCAAATCAGATATTTCTAGCAAAATGCAAATATTAGCATGCGTTGGTGTAAACTGATCACCATTGATTTTTTTCAGTAATAGTCATATCCTGGATGGAAATCTTGGGCGTTGGGATACTAGACCGTATCCCAACGTTGACGTCTTTTTCACTCTGTATCCAACTCTTAGTGGAATGTGAGTGTAAATACAGGATATATTTAAGTCACTTGCACCAATCAGATTGCAGGGAATTTCACCATCATGGAATAATGTTGAGTATTACATACCTAGCGAAGCATTTGTATGGAAGTCAATGGAGCTGAAGGTCGGCTATATATTCCTGTATAGCTGCCAAACCTTTTTACCATGACAACTTTATGACGTCATAACATGTAAACAAATTGATTTTGACTGGAATTGTGTAAAATTTGGGTCTTTTTTCACGCATTTCTACATATTATCTTTATGAAATGTTATGTAAATGTACTTTAGGTATGTAATACAACAATTATGTCTGTATCATTGAATATATGCCTTCGGTCCATCGTCAATATAACCCTCGCAAGATTGGGCTATATTGACATCAGACCTCAGGCGTATATTCAATGATAGGAACATAATGGCTAAATATATCTTAGCTAGCATCCTAAGTGCAAGCCATATTGAATTTAACTTGTTATTTGAATTTAACATGTTAGTCTGTTTTTCCCTATTCTTATTTTTGTCATCAAAATAAATTATATCAGCCATTGCATCATTTGAATTGTAAAGGATTTGGTTTTAGTTTTGCGTCTATGTCATCATGCTCAGATAGAAACCTGGGTTATCATGCCATATGTCAGAGTAAATTCAATAATACCTGTTTGTCCCGTGTGTACAGTGACATGGACGATGTATTACATACATTTTATAGATATTTGCAATGCTAATTTATCCGATAATTCTTCACTAAATTCTGCTTTAAATTGTCAGCAAGCTGTCGCAAACATTTTGAAATTACACAAATTGATCTTTATTACTGTTGTTCTATACATTTGCTACTGTTATATTTGTAGCTAACCTAGAGTGCAGTCTATGGCAAAGTGTCCCATGTCCAACCTTCAATCATTGGATGTATATGTAATATTATATTGTGCTGTATTTTTAGCCAACCTACAGCCCAATCTTAGCGCAAGGATTGCTTTTATAGAGGAACAATTTGCTAAAAGTCCTATACCTGACCTACAACCCAAGTAAGTACAGTAGTCTATGTCTGTAATTTTTTAATTTAGGCATGATCTCAAGAATTGGAACATACATAATTTGGGTTTTACCACCCCCCCCCCCCCATACAATGTTTATCTTTCATATATGAAAGTCAAGTCTCTTTCAAAACGAAATCTTGACTTAATTCATGTCCAAACAAAGTTATTAATTGATTAATAAGATGCGTTAATGTGAATATAACACTTATAAATAATATTGAACGAGGATATATGTCATTTTGCCTTCTGGAAATTTGAGTTATTTTTTTCTATTGTATGTTTTGCATTATTGTATGTTTTTGCATTATTGTATCATATTTTTGCATTATTGTGTGTTTGCAGAACCAAGACACTTCCCAGCATTGAACAAGCCTGGTCTCTCCCTATTCCCGCGGAATTAACGTCACGACAAAGTGCGCCCAATTCTGGCAACCAGCCAAGAATGATGCAACCTGGGATGCTTCAGCAACAAGGCCCGCAACCACAGCAACGATTTCCCAGCATGCCCGGCCAACAGCCTATGCAGCGTCACCCCGGGTACCCCCCAGGTATCTCGCCCCACCCAGGGGATGAAGGTAGTGCTGCTAAAAGGCGTAAGGGAAATGCAAAAAAGAGGGTAAGTATTGAATAAAGAAAAAAAATGAAATGGCAAAATTATTTAAAGAAAAAAAGGGCACGATTAGAAACTAAAACAGTCAAAATTCAAAATAACTTTGTCACTTTTAGAAATAATATTCCCCTTGCCATAAAGGTATCGTGAAATATTATACGCAAAAGATATTACCCTCAATAAAATGAAATATTATTGGTAAATTCGTAGAAGACTTCATTGGACAGCCAACCATATGATACTTCATTTTAAAAGAACATAGTGTAAACATAAAATATTCTTAATAATTATGTTATATTTCAGTCTGGAGGGGGCACCCCACCCCAAAGCCCCTCCCCTCAGCCACAGCCGACCCCACCTTTCTACTTGAATCCGCAACAGATGCACATGATGATGAGTCTACAGCAGAACCAGGTAATGATATTTCACAAGTATTAAGGAGCTTTATCTAAGAGAACTGGTATATGAATGTGTACAATTGTGACCTGGTTTTGCTTTCAACGCAGTTCACTCGACTGATTTAGTATGAACTTGCAAGAACAACATATGCAATTAGATTCCTGGAAAAACCAAATGAGAGGAGAACAGTTATCCCTGGGTTATTGTATTATATGTTCAAATGCTTGTTCTCTTAAAAACATGTAGCCATGTAACCTCCATATAAAAGTGGTCCAATGTTGTTAATTTTACTCAAACTAAAGCTTAAATGAAATTGAATCATGTAAGTAAGTTGTTCTAGGATATTATTTTAGCTTCTGTCACAAGAATGATCCTTCCTGCCTTACATCTGTATAATATATTAAAAATAGACAATATTATTATTCAATTAACTCTGTTTTTTTATTTTCACAGTCCAACCTCACTCAACAGCAGCAACAACTTCTTAATCAATTACAACATCAATATCAAATGCAACAACAACATCAGCAGCAGATGAGATTACAACAACAACAGCATGGCATTATGTCACAACAGGTATCTACCCAGAATGCTAGGCTACATGTTTTAATGACCCAGAAGTCACCTATGTAGATATTTGTATTCAAAAAATAAGAATAGTGATTTATATTCTAGAATCAATATTCAATATTGCATGCAAATTAAAGTAGAACACCTTCAGTTCAACTAAAAATTGTTCCATTTATCGAGGTTTATGAACATAATGTCATTGGATCATTGGACTGAGAAAGATGTTCTACTTAAGGTGTTCAACTCACAGAGGTGTTCCACTAATAAAGGTGTTCCGATTAACAGGTTTTACCATATATAAAAACGTCCTAGTTTTTTAGGCATAATTCATTTGTTTCACTTTTTTATTAACATTTTATTTACCAATTTTTTCAGGGACAGAACATGAATATGCCTCCACCTTACCCTAGTTCCAATGGTATGATGCCCCAAGGTGGTATGCCGCCAAACCCCATGGACCAGGGTAGGATGCGACAGCCCCCACCCAGCTACTCAAATTCTGTCAACTTCCCTGGAGGTCCTTCAGGAATGAACCAACCCCCAAGACGCAGCTTTGAAATCACCCCAAGTACGATTGTCAACAACGTGCCTTTCAGACAGGAAATGCCGCCTGCCTCTTCCCAGCATGCATCAGGACAAGGACCTGTCACTACAAATAGTTTCAACACATTTCAGCCTCAAACAAGCCAAAGTGGTGTTTTTCAAGAACTCTCTAAAGACATTCAGAATAATCCAGTCACGGAACAGGAATTAACAGCTCTGTTATCCCGCCAGGATATAGCGACATCCCTCGCGGAAGATCTCCTAGCACAAATTACACAAGATAGTGATATTCTCAAAGGACTTGAAACCAAAAAAGACTCTAGTCAAACAAATGACGACATCTTGGACGCTTTTAGCTCGTTCCAAAATACTGACAATTTCCCCGATGATTCCGGGAATCTTAACTCTCAGCCTCCTAGCGTACATTCCAGTTCAGTCCATAGCTTAGATACAAATCAAATCCGTGATGGCGGACCATCAAATATTGGATCTCCAAAAAGTGAAGCGAGCCTATCCAGTTCGCAAACACCACGCTCTCCTAAATTGGAGGAAGATATATTAGACCAATTAAAAGTCAATACTGATGGGACAAAATCTGACCCCAGCGTCATATTGAGTCCTTCGGCTATTTCAATCAACATGAGTTCTTCACTTCTGACACCAAAATCTGGAGGTGAGTAAGAAATGGAGGGTGTTTCATCTCATATAGCATTATTTAACTAATTGCATTTTTTTAATTTACTTTGTGAAAAAATTCATTAGAATTTAACAGATTAAAAAGTGATCATCACTAATCAAAATCAAATTAAAAATCAGTTAATGGGTAATTTAAAGAAATTATAATTTTCAAACATGTCAACAAAAGTTGAAAATTTCATTATGCTTGTTATTATTTCAGGTTCCTTCAACACTAGTATCCTCTCTGAGAAATGCCCGCCCCCCTGTCCCCCAGAGGCCCCCTACCCCCCACTCCCTAAAGACAAACTTGACCCTGCTACACCTAGTGTATATGTGAGTAACTCATTTTCACTAAGTTGTCAAGCTCATGAATATATATAAAGAATAAACATTTACAGTGTGTATTAACATTTTTTAACATTTGTTTTACATCTTATCCTGTCATAACTTAATATGATCGTTGTAAATTTAAAAGATTTTTTGGCAATTCATATTGACCTCTTGAACACCCAGAGTGATGACATTTCACATCACCTTAGAGATGATCTTAAAACCCAGATTGACGAGATGATTTATCACAAAATTTTTCACTAAAACTGCAATTCACTCCAATTTACTCAAAATACATTTTAGAATGTGTACAAATGATCTTTTCCGACTAAATTGAGCATCACGGTCATATATGTATGTCAGTAAAATGCTTTTCAAGTTTTGAAGTGCAAAGTAGAGTTTAAAAGTGAAATAAGCAATTAGGAATAAAAAAAAAAATACAACAGTTGCATGCCAAATATTGTACTAAATATGATTATTTAGTACAATATTTTCCAATGAAGCTTAAGATTAAAGATGAAATTTTCTTCTTTCAGCTGGAAAGTAAGAAGGATGCTTTCTCCAAAGAACTTCAGCAGTATTGTCTGTCCCAGCCTGTGGCTGTTATACGTGGAATAGCAGGGGCATTAAAACTAGGTATGTCAAGTTTATATATCTTGCTTTCTCCAAAGAACCTCAGCAGTATTGTCTGTCCCAACCTGTGGCTGTCATACGTGGAATAGCTAAATATAGTAAATAATAGATAAAATTTTCTTCATTTTTTGTGGTGAAGTTAAGGACCAGGAGAATTTATACCAAAATAATTTAATGGCTTTTTAACCCTATTAGTAATGTACTGGGACTGGTTAGTATACATGTGATGCCTTCAGTAATGCATTGACTTATTGTACACAGAAATATTTAGTTTAGTGAATATTAAAATATATATTATGTCACCACCCCAATTTGTGACATACTTTTATAGTCTCTGGTGTTCAGCGCCTGGCAGTCAGTGTCTGTAACAAATGTCAGGTGGTGACATTTTGCATGTTGATGCCTCATATTTGCTTATTTGTTACTTCAAAGGATTTAAAAGGATTATGTGTCAGATAATACTATCATTACATATGATATTTTATATTTTCAGACTTGGGCCTATTCTCAACTAAAAGCCTGGTAGAGGCCAACCCTGATCACCCATGTGAGGTCAGAACTCAGGTAAACATTTCAAACTCTTTAATTAATGTTGCATCAAGTCTCTGCCCCCCCCCCCCCCAATATTTTCTGTTTCAGTTTAGAACTCGGGTAAGCAAGTCTTGCATCATTGTCTCTTTCACTTCTGATTACCCTATTCGCTCATGTGAGGGTTGAACTCATGCTTATACTCTTCAATGTTAAATCTCGTTCCCATTGCTTTCCTGGAACTTGAATTCCTGGTAAAATAAGAATGATTCCTTGCATTAACACAGTTTTTATTATTTTGTAGCTGAAGTATTTCACCATTATGTTAATAAGTATGGTGCATTTTTCAAAAGGACCAGTGTCTTATTTGAAGTCATTTTGTAATATTTTTACATCTCAAGGATTATGTGCACATTTATTTGAAATCTAACAAAACAACACAACTTTGATTTCAGAGACTCCAAGGCCCCGATGAAAACAGGGACCAGTTCGGGGCAAATGTTTGGCACTGTGCCAGCACGAGAAGTCACACCACAGTTACAAAGTATGCTCAATACCAAGCGTCATCCTTCCAAGAATCTCTCAAAGAAGAAACGGAAAAAGTTCGTGGAATTCAACGTGACAAAGACGAGGATTCTAATGGCAAAGGGTAGGGAATCTTTTTTTTTCAATTTTTGATTTTTTTTTTTTTTTACTCTGTATAAAAAGTTGTACAAATACAATATTGTAGAAAGAAAACATACAGTAGTTGCATATGCTATAATATCGTATTTATATAAAATATTAGCCTTATTTAGGATAGTAGTTTTGATAAAAAGAGGAAGGGAAGGGTAGGAAATCTTGATTATTCTAAATTTTTGAATAATTTTTACTCCGTTAATAAATCACACATCGCAAGAAGTTTTCATGTTTCATGATTGCTTGAGTGATGACCAGTTACCAGTTACATATTTAGATACTTATAAATGTATCAATTTACATTTCTGATTTTCCTCCTTCCTCACCCAATTTTTTAGAAATTGTACTCTGTGCTCAAATTAACAAAAGAAAATTAGTTACATTGGTGGTCCAGTGATCTCCCAGCATAAAACCAAGTGGGCGCAGCACCCACCTGAGTTTTGCACCAACCTGAGAAAAATCCTGAGGAGATCACTGGGTACATTAAACATTGTTCGCCATCATTGCCCTGAAACTTTGCCAATTTTATTTTTAATATGTTTTTAGGAAAAAGGCTAAAAAGATGATAAAGTTTGGTACCAATGTTGATCTCTCTGACGAACGAAAATGGAAACCACAATTACATGAAATATCCAAACTCCCAGCATTCACCAAGTTAGTTTCGGCTAGCAATATGCTGAGCCACGTAGGACATACCATATTAGGAATGAACAGCGTGCAACTTTATATGAAAGTGCCAGGATGCAGAACCCCTGGTGAGTGATTTTAGAACTAAATTGATAAATATCAAAATTTGAATATGAAAGTTAAAACATAAAAAAATATTTCAATGTTTATGTATTTTGCAGTTCTGAAAGAAACCTTTTAATCTCAAAGAATATTTAAGATAAATATATATATTTTTATTACTGTTGTTGAATGTATTTATTACATGTAGGTGAGGGTACCAAACAAAATAAATAATTATTTATTTGTGTGACAAAAATAAGTAATTATTTATTTTATTCTTTCATAGGTCATCAGGAGAACAACAACTTATGCTCTGTGAATATAAATATTGGGCCGGGAGATTGTGAATGGTTCGCAGTGCCAGAATCGTACTGGGGAGCAATACATAATATATGCGAAAGGTATGAAAAAAAGAAAATGCTCGCCATTTTGAATGATGCACTCTGGGTGAAAATGATCAAAATTGTTCACCAGCTTGTCACCGCAAGTAAATTCGACTGTGATTCCAATAACCAAGATGCAACATTCAAAATGGCTATCATTTCAATACAGCACATTTGTAATGAAATTCACCAATTTTGTAGGCCACCAAGAAAATAATAACTTCTGCGCTGTGAACATTAACATAGGACCTGGGGACTGTGAGTGGTTTGCTGTTCCAGAACAGTATTGGGGCATTATTAATGCCCTTTGTGAAAGGTAGAACTATCGCATCATAATGCCCTTTGTAATTGAAGTCTGAAGATTATACAATGAGCAGTAGATGCAACTTCAGTATTTTAATCATATTTGCAATTATTAAATCCTTCTGAAAATTGTACATAATTGTAGTATTTTAATGCCATACAATGGTTATATGTACATGTACTATGTATTTTGCCTAAATATGCAATCATTCAGGAAACATAAATATTGAATTAAAATTATAAATCCCATGCCCTCTGTATTTTAAGTAACTTTAAAGTAATTTTAGATTAACATTATAGACATTTTGAGAAACATTTAAATTTCCAATCATGTTAGTTGTTCAGGTTCCATAAATCATATATGATAACAAACAACAACAAAAACAGCTACTTGAAAGCCATTGTAATTTTGGGATCATCACTTATATATTAATTTGGAGTTGTGCATATTAAAAATATATATCTCCAATACCATTGTTTTGTCACTGCCAGAAGTGATGACATATTTTTATAGTCTCAAACATTTTTGTGGACAGTGTTTGCGATGAGCATCTGTAACAAATGGCAGGTAGTGACATTTTGCATGTTAACTTTATTTATCATATGAGAACACTCTGTATATTTTAGGTACAACATCAACTACCTGACAGGATCATGGTGGCCTATACTAGATGATCTATACAAGGAAGATGTCCCTGTCTATAGGTTCATTCAGAAACCTGGAGATTTGGTCTGGATTAACGCTGGCTGTGTACACTGGGTGCAAGCAATTGTAAGTTTGGCTTTATTTTGAGATTTTGTCATTATTATATGGGGCTTATAATATTAGCATGGGACCTTGTTGTCCAGTTTTGCATAAACTAAGAAAATTTGAAAATTTTCCAAAATGTATGTATCACCTTGGTCAACGTGTTTCTATTATTGTTAAAAATCAAAAATTAGCTGAACAGTATGACTTTCATCGGTGTTTAGTATTATCTCAAAGCAGTTATGAAAATTTGAGTCTCTTGTAACATTGTTAAAATTAGTTGGGAGGTCAAACTCCCTAAATAATGAGATTACTAACATGTGGTCCTAGGGCTTGTATATTGGAATTCTCTGATTCTAGGGCTGGTGTATATTGTAATTCTCTGATTATAGGGCTGGTGTGTATTGTAATTCTCTGATTCTAGGGCTGGTGTATATTGTAATTCTCTGATTCTAGGGCTGGTGTATATTGTAATTCTATGATTCTAGGGCTGGTGTGTATTGTAATTCTATGATTCCAGGGCTGATGTGTATTGTAATTCTATGATTCTAGGGCTGGTGTGTATTGTAGTTCTTTGATTTTAGGGCTGATGTGTATTGTAATTCTCTGATTCTAGGGCTGGTGTGTATTGTAATTCTCTGATTCTAGGGCTGGTGTGTATTGTAATTTTCTGATTCTAGGGCTGGTGTGTATTGTAATTCTCTGATTCTAGGGCTGGTGTGTATTGTAATTCTCTGATTCTAGGGCTGGTGTGTATTGTAATTCTCTGATTCTAGGGCTGGTGTATATTGTAATTCTCTGATTCTAGGGCTGGTGTGTATTGTAATTCTCTGATTCTAGGGCTGGTGTGTATTGTAATTCTTTGATTCTAGGGCTGGTGTAACAATATAGCCTGGAATGTAGGTCCTCTGAATGCCAAGCAATACTCATCCGCAGTTGAAAGATACGAATGGAACAAACTCCAAAGCTACAAGTCGATCGTTCCCATGATTCATCTCACTTGGAACCTTGCCAGGAATGTACGGATATCAGATATGGCATTGTTCCAGCAAATGAAGTAAGTTTCATAATGCACGTCTTTCAAGTTATGCCATTGTAGTTTGCAAAGTTATGAAAGGGTCAGATGTGCTACTAGTATTACTATGAACGAGAGCAGGCATGACTTTCTTAACTTTCCTAACTTAACAAATCGTCCGTAACTTTATGATGCACTTTAAGAAATGCAACTTTAAGAAATGCAACTTTAAGAAATATAAATATTTAACAGTGGACCAAGAAACGTAAGTAAGAATGGTACAAGAATGGGGTCCAGAATATGAATATGTAACTTTTGACGAATAAACGACTTCATGTTTTAATCTGTTTAGTATAAGGAAGGAATAAACAATAATTAAACAGTCTAATGTAGTCCCCATACACGTGGTTCATTTACCATACACAGTGCACCTCAAATTTACAGAGAATATTTTATTTCAGGTATTGCTTATGTCGTACATTAAAGCAAGTACAGTTGATCATAGACTACATCAAGGGTCTTGGTAAGACAATTAAATACCATGACAAACAGAAGGGAGAGGCTGCCCACTATTGTGACAAATGCGAGGTAAGTTACCTCTTTTAGTCAATAGAGAGGTTAAGTTCAATAGGGAGGTTAAGTTCAATAGGGAGGTTAGGTTCAATAGGGAGGTTAAGTTCAATAGAGGTTAAGTATTGTTTTGTAGAACATGGATGTGAACATGTGAAATTATAGTCAGCCTTCATTGCACTTATTATTTCGTTGACTTAGTTTGAAGATATAACGAAAAAAAGTCGTAATAAGTCTCCCGATTAGATCCTGTCTAAACCAATTTGGAGAAAAAAAATAATACATTCAAGCATTTTATAATTTAGGTGGAGGTCTTCAACATACTATTTGTGGCTGAGCAGGACAAAAAGTTTGTAGTCCACTGCCTGGACTGTGCAGGAAAGATTCAGAAGAAACTGGACAACATTGTCATCCTCAACCAATATCACATGCAGGATCTCAAAGAGGTCTATGATAATTTCCAGTTACATCAAGTAAGTTAGCTGTTACACTTCCCCCACATTAAGGTGTTGAGTTGTCCTCGAACTTGAAGGAATTGCTGAGAATTTTACTGTCCGAATTATTTCACTTGTAATTTAGATATTGTTTTTCTTATTTCAAATTTAAGAGTTCTAAAATTTTTGGAACAATTGTAAAATTATTTGTAATGTTTAAAAAATGTTGATTGGTGTAAATTTAATTCATTTTCAGGCACCAACAGGACTTGTTTCATACGCTTAATCTGCTGACATCACTTCATCCTGACATCATAATTACATCACAATGGCATCACAATGTTAAGATCATTAAGACATAGGTCATATACATGAATCACCAGTGCAAATGTAATGCAATATACGCAACCAAAGTTTTGTTGCATCAATGCGAAATTAAATAGGATGGTATGTTTAGTGAAAGGTGACCAAACATTGCGTAAAATATTAATAAAAACTGAAATGCAGTTAATTCACAGTTTGGTGAAAATGTCATAAAAACTTAATCAAGGTGATGAACTTCAAAGTTGAAATGTCCATATATGGAAGCATGAGTTGTAATGTCCATATATGGAAACAAAGTTGAAATGTCCATAAATGGAAGCATTGCAGCAATAACTACTGAATAAGAGCGAGGAGATGAATGTGCGTAGCCCTTCTGGGTAGTCTACAAGGATCTAACATTTATTTACAAAATAAATTAAACATATATCAAACAAAATATAAAATGTCCTTCAAGGAACAAAGAAATGACATAGTTGAATGTGACGAAATGTGACGTATGATGAACACACAGAAATCTACAGAAGTTCCTCCAATTGAGATATAAATATATAATTGACACAGTTGAGTGTATATGTACATGTATTTTAATAGCAAACCCAACAAAGATCTCAATTCTTGTCCAAAGAAGTGGAGCACAATATAGTATCCCAGAAGCCTCAGTGTCACATGATTGTACTGACCAATCATATTTGAGGAATTTTTAATGAGGAGGGTAAACAAACCCACAATGCAACACTGATTGGTCAGTTCAGTTATTGTTGATGATATGTAGATTCAAACATAGTTTGACTTATGATTGCAATTATTGTATATTTAGCAATTGGTATATTGCTAAATTGCAATTATTGTATATTTAGCGATTGGTATATTGCTAAATTGCAATTATTGTATATTTAGCTATGGTATATTGCTAAGTTATAATGCATCATATAATTGTTGCTTTTGCATACATATATTTATTGAGCTTTTTTAACTTATTGATCCTGAAATTATGTGCATATATTTAACGAACATGTTTGTATTTAGCTTGTTTTGTTTTGTACATAAACATGTTATTAAAATGAATACTGGACATTTCACCTGGGAGCCAATCCCCTACATACTGTAATATTGTACTTACACGGAATGGTTATTGGTCAATTCAATAGGACCGCGTAATAAACAAATGTAGATTTATTTTCATTGAACTACTAGGTCATATCAATTGTCATAGGAACTTCTAGGCCATTTTCAGTTGTCATAAGAGCTACAGTAACAGGTCATTATTATCAGTTACAGCTATCATCATAACAAAAAACTCCTTGGACAATGGGGAATACATTATGGATGTGGAAATTGTTTGTGTTTTGGGGCAATTGTACTTGCCCAAAATGCAATATACTGTAGACTACTTGACCCTTGCCATTTCTATACATGGTCACCTCTAGGTAATATATAGCCATCTCTATATTATTGTTTCCTAGCAACCTCTAGGTGACAGATCATAAGTGTACAAATCATTACCATCATGTCACCATGACAACTTTGTTGTGTTCATGGAAACCATAGAAACAGCATTATGATAGTGCTCAAGGGCCATAATTAAGTGATGTACAGTGTCTGCAATATCAATGTACATGTACCACAATCACTTTGGTGCCCAAATATGATGAAATACAGAGGCCTCTTACTGCCATCTATTGTTGTAAAACATAACCTCAGACCACCAATAAACCTCACTTTGATCTGTTGATATTTCAACACGAGTGTGATATTTTTATAAGATTTCTAAGGAATTATAATGGTAAGAAAGACTGATTCTTAGTAAAAAAGCTAATGCGAATTTAGAAGTAGTCAAACTGATCTCATTTTTGAATGTCTGCTCCAAAGCAATGCATTATGGGAGAAGAGTAACTGATCTCATTATGAACGTCTGCTTCAAAGTAATGCATTATGGGAAACACTATGCAAATGATGGCATTTATAAGATTCAGGTAGTAAATGACCAATCACATACAGGGCGATTATAGATAATGACACCAGTGCTACCAAACTATATCAATATTTTGTCATTATTTCTTGATCACCCTGTAAAAACAGTGGCACTTATAAGCATACTGAGAGTTGGAGGGGTTTAATAATAAAGAAGTAACGACCAATGAAAATGCATTTAACGTGGATATTGCTTATTTATGATTCAGTCAGTCCACATGGCCCAGGCACCAAAAACATAGCCAATTAACCCATGTAATAGAATGAGAACTTTCTCAATTTAGGCATGCCTGTGCCTAAGACTGATATTAAGATAAACATTAATTATTAGACCAGTAGATTTTATTTATATTTGTGGCTAATTGTAGCCAAAAACTGTATACCTAGAAAGTCTATGTGAAATATTTTTACGCTTACCGATATGTCTGGTGGCTTATAAGAGGTCACATTGAAATTAATTTCTCACTTCCATTGAATGCATTTAACACCAATCATTCATATACTTAGTAAGCACACTGAATTTAAAGTGACAGAGTCCTACAGCGTTAAAATTGCAATTGATTGGTGTGTATTTGTGGTGACAATGAATGGATACTTAGATGGTCAATTGGAGACCATGTGTGAAAATCAATAGTATAAGATTTGAAAATGGTTATGCCAGTGTTATGGTAGCTAGTGACCACAGAGACATAGTGAGTTGACTGAAACTAGAAGTTTAGATGTTAGATTTCTTTAAATTTGTACAGCTATATTGTATATATTTAATATTGTTATATTTCCTTGGGTATACCAATATGTACATGTACATAAAAATGATTTGGCTGCATCTGTATAGTAACCATACATAGGTCAATATGATGCACATTTCAAATTGGTGACTTACTACTATTAATAGGCAAATTTAGATTTCCCATATTTTGGAGAAGGAATTAGAGTTGCTTTTAATGAAGAATGGCAAAAAACTTGTCAAGCCAAATAATCAAAATACCATGTTTGGTATGTGTACTATATATAAGGAAGTAGTCCAGGGAAATGAGGTAATGATATACACATGTTCATGCATGGTGGTGGTCACACTTATCCTACACCATTTTCAAAATATTGAAATGTTCAGTGCAAATGGACCAATCAGATTGTGAGAAGCATTGTAGAAGAAATGAAAGGCACTTTTCTTTCATAACCTGATTCCAATCCATGGTTTTTTGGCTCATCTTTTAAGGCATTTTCTTTATTCATTTCCCAAAACATGATACCACCACGATGGTGTTTTACGGGTCGTATGTGTTGATTTATGATTTGGTCTCACTGTTATGCCAAATATATCTTATTTATTAACATTTACTACAAATACTACACAATATACAGGGTATCCATAAAGTCTCTTTACACAGATTTTGTACAATTTTAAAGATACTTTTTGGTTACCCTGTTTATTGATTTTGAAATATTATATCTCACTTCTCACAGTGTAAATATAGAAACTTAATGATATATGTTAGCGTAATTAAATTGTTAAGACATTAGTAAGGGTGGACTCTCTGATATCTGAGTTAAGCACAGAGATATCTGAGTTAAGCACAAAGATATCTGAGTTAAGCACAAAGATATCTGAGTTAAGCACAAAGATATCTGAGTTAAGCACAAAGATATCTGAGTTAAGCACAAAGAAGAGTCGGAAACAGGAATCTGATTGGTATGATGCTTACTAAAAGACAAAACTTGTAAGTTGTTATACCAGTAGGGTTAGCTTGGAAGACCTTATACGATTATAAGGCTTAGCCGTAAGGTATATTGTGTAAATTGTTTAAGGTATTGGACATACATGGTTTCATACCATTAAGGGATGTACAAGAGAAGATCGTAGTCATACATTGTATATAATTGTAGTTCTATTTAGAATGTAGTTGTGTAGCAATGTTTTTTTTGATAATTGTAGCCAAAGGGATGAGAATATTTGTAATAAATCTTGGACATAAAATTCACTTCTGTTGTTATAGCAATATATGTATAAAGTGATAAATCTGTATATCTGAACACCCTGTAATCTAAACACGTCAGTGTGAACACTTTCGGTCCTACTTTTTACTGCCATAGGTTTCAATATTTAAAAACTTTGAAATATAAAAACCTGCCATATGAAAACCAAGCCAATCGAACACTTGACTGGTCCCAGTAGCGTCCTAATTAAATTGATCCAAGTAACTGAAAATTGGTTAAAATAATAATTTATAGTTTATTGATGATTCATTCAAATAAGATTTGTGTTTCTTTGTATGGAAACTGTTACCACACATGAATACAATACATTACAAACTCTTAGTTTGTTAGTTAAATACAAACAATAATGTGACATATTATGACACTTAAAATATTACAGTTTATTGACAAAACATACATAAATTAAATAAGACTCAAAACAGGACAACGTAAAATAAAACAAAACATAAAAACATAAAATAAAATGACAACTTATAACATATTTATTTGGCGCAAGGGCGACTAGTTTGCAGGAAAATATATTTATTATGTTTTCATGATAATTTAAAGTAATCAAACTGGTCGCGCCCACCCTAATTGCGAATTCTTGATAAAATGTAGAGGGTGGGTTTAGGGTGGGGAAATGGATTTTTACGTCAACTGGAATTTTAAAAAAAGCTGTTGATATAAGAAGTTCTTTGTTGTAAATAAAGGATTGAAATTACTTTAATTAATTACAATATTGAAAATAACTTGATTTGAAATAAATAAATGTATAAAAACCTTACCTGGAATTTTAAAAAGAAGCTGAAGTTCTTTGTTGTAAGTGAAGGTAAGTAAAATTGGCGGGTAATAATTATAATATTGGGTCATGTGACAACAGGTAAGGTTTCTATTGGTTGAAGTTAATTATGTTGACCAATTAAATTACAGCATTTTAGATACCAACAATTGGTCTCAAAAATACGACAGATTAAACAGACTTTGTTGCATTTCCCCAAATTAATGGAAGTTTGTGTAAGGATATAGAGAATCAAACACTGTGGTCAAGCCAAAAATCACAATTGATACAGTACTAAAGAGTATCGAACCAAATCCAAAATAATTTTGATTTTCACCATCAGAAACTGATGATAACCAGCATGCAGTAGTGTCAAAAAAAGAATGAAAAAATTCAGTTTACAAATTTGAGCTAGCTTGGTTATTGTTTTAAAAGCAACTAAGTGATATCTTATATTACAGTAAATCTGTAACACACTGATACATATCATTGTCATTCTGTTAACTTATCAGCACTGAGTTTCACAATGAGTTTGGTGACGTTTTGAAAACCATTTGCAATACCTGACTGAAAAACAGTGACCATTTTGAAAATGAGCAGAGTTCTGATAAGAATTTAAGCAAGACAGACGGATGTTATATAGATAATCACCCAAACAGACGTACAAACGGAAGGACAAATTTTTGGTTAATGCATTAATGAGTTGAGTTGTACAAAGCTGAATTTTACTGGGTGTAGTTGAGTTTTACTTTGATTTACGAATCTTTGAATTGACATGACATGGAAGCAATAAAAGCCTGATTTGGAAGAATTTAAACATGAAATTAACAACTAAGATAATGATGAGTAAATTGTATATTTCGCACACAATCAATACATTGTAAATATCAAACAATATAATTGTATTGTACAACTTTTAAATCTAAATCTGACCGATATACTGTTTGTTTTTCTTGCTGTAAATACGTCTCCATGAACATGTAACTCTGTAAGGCGTTGTTATAGCGATGATCCGCAGTGTGTCTATGTTGGGAGTTGCTTCACTCCAACTGAAATACAAAACATGTCATTGTATTCAATTCTGAAAACAATCTGATACTATTTTTATGTTAGTCTCAGAAACAATATA